GTATGTATCATCAATTCATCGTTAATCATGACATCAATTTGTATTTATATATTCATGTATAGCTGATCTTGTATAAGAAAAAACAGGATTATGGATAGGCCGCAAAATTTAGTGCTGTATAAGACGCAAAATGATTGGCTACTGGCTTACCTGGTACATTTAGCGTAAGATTTTTTCACAATATAGATATATACACATATGACAAGTTAACTTGCTCTTATTTATTTAATGTAAGTTACACAGTCGAATAATCTCACACAGATCTCTAGCGTTATATAATTTATGTTATCAAAGTCCAGACACTTGTACAGTATATCGCGATTGGTAGATACATGTTTCAAGATTTAATAAAAATGATCTAAATAGGAAACCTCATGATTTTCATTTTTTCACAATGATCTGATCTGAGATGATAATTTCAATGTTAGATAAAAAACAAGTTTTCTTCGGTTACATTTCCAAGTATGATGAAATCGGATTTAAATATTGTCAACAAGGTAAAAAGATGAAATATATATAAATATTATAAAATTGTAAAAAAATAATCGATATACAATAATTTTATCAAACAAGGTAAAAGGATGAAATATATATAAATATTATAAAATTGTAAAAAAATAATCGATATACAATAATTTTATCAAACTTTTTGGAATGTAATTAGCAACTGCATTATTTTAAATAAATCGTCGATATCTTAGACTTGTATCTTGCGTGATATAAATCTCTTATTACAATAGCCGATGTTGATGTTATGGTTTTACCCATTTGTACGAACCGTAGTATGCAAAATTATTTTTCTTTGCCATTTCATCAGCTTCTTTCGGTCCTCGAGATCCATACCTAAAATTTTCAATCAGCAATCATGTATTCTGCACGCTTTAGAAATATTTATATTTATATTTCGCACACATACTTATATGGAATCGGTGGAATTTTTTCTTTTTCAATTTGATGAAGCAGCGGTGTGAATATCCTCCACGCTTCATGCAACTCGTCATTTCGTACGAAGTGCATTTGCGAACCGCAAAAGACATCCAAAATTAATCTTTCATAAGCATCCGATAATTTGAGTCCCTGAAATAAACGTATTATAATGAGCATTATATATATATATATATATATATATATATATATATATATATATGATTTAATTTCAATTTTCAGAAATTTTTTGTTCAATGAAGTTACTTTGTATCTATTGCTATAAGTAAAGTCCAATTCCGTTTCTTCCAGATCAAACGTGATACCAGGTGATTTTGTCATCATTTTAATGTACAATGCTTCGCCTGGTTGCACTCTTATCACCAATTCATTTCTCTTTGCCTTCCCATCAAAGATATCACCTGGTACATCTTGGTATTGTACCCTAACTTCTGCCTTCCTTTCATTCAAAGCTATAACATCGCGCGGCGATTAAAGAAAGAATTTTTACTTGTCGACAAACGAGTCTCTTTCGATCTTACCTTTTCCGCATTTCAGAATGAACGGTACTCCATCCCATCTCTCATTGTTTATTTTCAGTACCGCGAATGCGAATGTCGGCGTGTTAGATCCGGCTGGTACCGTAGGATCATCCAAGTAGCCTAAACGCGCTTCCGGATCTTCAGCGTTCGGATCTCCGACATATTGACCGAGAACAACCTGATCGAGTTTCAGAGCTTTAATACATCTGAGAACCTTCACTTTCTCATTTCTAATATCATCCGGATGACAAGACGCGGGTTTCTCCATGGCTACCAAAGATAAAATTTGCAGCAGATGATTCTGCATCACATCTCTGATGATGCCGAATTCGTCGAAGTAGCCACCTCTACCCTGAGTGCCGAACGGTTCTTTAAAGGTAATTTGCACCGAGGCTATATTGTCTCGATTCCACGTCGGGCTGAATATCCTGTTTCCAAATCTAAAGATCATCAGATTCTGAACCATCTCCTTGCCGAGATAATGATCGATACGATAGATCTGATTTTCGCTGAACAGCATCGCCAAATGATCGGAGAGCTTCTGCGATGAAGCGGCATCGTGGCCGAACGGTTTCTCGATTATAACTCTCGTCCAACCTCTGAAATTTTAATAAAATTGTGAATTTGTTAATTGAATTTAACTTAATGAAACTAATTATTTTCAAAATAATTCTTGATATATCTTTTTTCTTTCTGACTTTCGATGATCTGCTCTTGTCTTATTTTACATTTAAAATTTATTTCGTATTTCAAATTTAACTTACTTCTGTCCCATGCAGGTATGTCGAAGATGTACCATAATATTTACAAATATGGTTGGTGGAACTGCCAAATAAAATAGCCTGTGCGCAATGTTCTCTCGTTCAAATTTTTCTAATTCAATATTTAGTAACTCGAAATCTTTTCTTTGATCGTAAGTACCAGTAACATAATAATTCAGTTTCCAAAATTTTTCATATTTCTCCTCTTCGTCTGATTTCACATTCATATATTGATGGCATTTTTCACGTAATTGTTGTAACGTCAATCTGCTTCTAGCATAACCAACGAAAGTAGTAGATATCGGCAGGAGATTGTCTCGAAAGAGCCACCAGAGAGTTGGATAAATTTTCTTCTTAGCGAGATCACCCTTTTTATAAAAAAAATTTTATAAAAATTTTATAAAAAAAATCACAGTACTTAAATTGAAGTTCGAAAATGATATAAAAAAATTAATTTAATATAGGAATTAATATGTTTCTAAAAAATTACAATTTATTTTAGCTGGAAAAAAAATGTTGAGAAATTTGTATTTATATAGCTAAAAATTTTAATATGATATAATATCAATTGCCTAGAATTAACATAACTGTAAAATTATTAAAAATCGCAATATCGAATTTTGTATAAAAGATTTAATTATATGTAAAAAAGTCAGAAAGTGTTGCGATATAAGCATAAATGAATAAATATTTATATTTGGTTGTAATTGGCATATTGTTATTCGCACAGATTTTTATACTTTATTTTTAAATTATAAACTCACAGATGCTCCAAAAATAACAAACACGTGCGGATTGAACCTGTCAAAGTGAGTCCCTTCCAGATTATCCATTTCTTCCGATTTGAGGGATTGCCTAATATACTGCAGACTCTCCTCCGTTGACGTCTCTACGGTTAACATTGTATTTTTATTCAGTAGCATTATACGTTTACATCAATATTTATAGTCGACATCGTAAACTGTCCACTGGGAGAATTCTATTTTTCGAAAAGTTTCATTGTTATCGCTCATTCTTTGAATTTACCGTTTTACCACTTGCAAATAAAATTGCAAAATGTATGACGCAACTTGATGAGTCCATTTGCTGAACTAAAAAAATTGTGTTTAGAATGCAAATTATCCTTTTTTTTTTGCGTTTGTGTTAGCACAATATTACATGCGAGCATTCACATATTATTTATAAGAATACATATAATTTATTTATACAATTATAAATTTGAGAAATATAAAAAATCTTTTATTTAATATATATTAAAAATCAACTATATATTATCTTAAATAATAATTTATTTAAATAATAATTTATTATCTTAAATAATAATTTATAAAAATTATTTTTAAAAATTAATTTATATGTCTATTATAATTAACCGAATAAAAAAGGCGACAATTAGTTCAATTCGTGCAATTAGTATGATTAGAGTAATCAAAAACTTCAGAATAAAATCAAATTTATCGATGTTACATAAGATTGACTTTGATGTTACATAAAATTGAAATATTCATGAAGCTCTACGTAATCGAAGCGTGACTTTAGTCGATTGTATTTTTATTTCCGATTTTCGAATCGCATATCAGTTGGAATAATCACACGTATTAAATCAATATCAATTAGAGTTCGATAATCAGTTTTCTATGTAACAATGCAGTGTGAATATGAGAGATAAGAAGTAGTAATCTATATAAATCTGTATAAAACTTATGTTCTCGCTAAAATC